CCTCTCATGCAAGCCGTACCTGTAGGAGATGAAATGGGTCTAATCTGAGCATCGCATCTGTGACGAATTTAAGCAATCCATTGATTGCGGTATAAATATTGAAGTAAGATAAATTTTGAAGCAGAATAAAGTAAAATAAAAAAACAAAAAATTGCACTCGCATGCATATTTGTATTAGTGCAAATAAAATTGTATAGCAAATGCAGTCTCAAGATTTTGAGTGATTTTGATTTTTGCTTTTATTATAAGTTTTTAAATGTATTCAATTCTTTTTTATTTTGGTAAAGGAACATTTATGTGTGTTGGTGTCATGCCATATCAAGCATAGGGCTGCAAATGCAAAAGGATCAGATCAAACTAAGGTTTAAAGTATCGATACGTATCATTCTGGGACCTCTCCGATATGCCCCTATAGTGGATGTATTGGGGGTCTGATCGGTTCAAGGGGTGGAGGAGGTCTAAACCGGCCCCCTTAAACCAGTTTTGAAAAAAAATAAAAATAAAAGTAAAAAAAGGTATTGATTCACCTGATATTTTGAACCTTGGATCAAACATGAGTACAAACATGATAATGGTTCTCTGAGTAAAAAAGGAATAAATGAGAATGGGGAGGTTAAACGGTCATATAGTCAAGTGGAAGATGTTGCTCCTTGTTTTTTTAATTTCAATGAATCAAAAGGGATAAGATGGAATATGAACAAGCCCACTTAGGGGGTGTTCTTTTTTTAGATTTTGAGAGGGGGAAGTTGGTAAATTCCCATTAATCAAGAAATCCATGTTTTTTTTTAAAGATTTATGTGGGGGCTAGTGAAATTTTATTTTCCTGAGTAAGTGATGCCCATCTCCTAAGTGGGTAAATAACTTTCCCACATGGGGGAAAGTTTCCAACACCTGAATGAGACAAAAATGCCCCTTTTAATAATAATTTTTTATGGTTAAAATGGTGATTTTCTTTTTTACTTGGAAAATAAAAAGAACATGGGTAAATACACTTACATGAGTAAGTGTTTCACAGGAAGAACTTACCCAGGTAATTGCATTAATTTGAAAAAAGAATATGAGATTCTTAGTCAATGGGAACCAAATCCCATTGACCAACTTTCCCTACTCTCAAAATCCAAAAAAAAAGAAAGCCCCATAGAGTGAAAGTTGCCAACACTTGAATGAGACAAAAATTTCTCTTTTAATAATGGATTTTTATAATTAAAATAGTCATTGCCTTATTTATATGGAAAATAAAAGAACATGGATAAACTCACTTACCTTGGTAAGTGTTTCTTTAAATAAGTGCATTTACTGGGTAAGTAACTTATAGAAAAGTGAACAGGGCCTTAAAGTCAAGAGGGTCCCGGGAAGGTTCTCCGGCCCCCATTTGACCATTTTCTTGCCACCACATGTGCATGTAATGCAATTAATTACTACCATCTCTCAGATAAGCGTGGAAACTTTTTGTTCTTGAGTGCGCTTCGGACCTTTGGTTAGGTTACTTGAAATTAAAAGTCAGTAAAAGTGGGCTTCCCTAAAAAGTGAACAAAAGAAAAGTTGTGGGGAAATCTTTTAGACACCCTTTATTCCTTTCATCTCTGTTAGGTTTCCCTAACTTCCCCCTCCTTTTCTTCTTCTACCCACCCCCTTTATAAGGAAACTTAATGTGCAATCTTACAACATTTTGTGCCTGAAAAAAACATAAAAGTTAGGTTTATGAACAATTGCAATAGGTAAAAAAGAGGTTATAAAATGAGTAGAATTAATACAAAATATACGCAATGTAATTTTAATAATAATAGGAATGCAAACCATGTTGTATTTATGATTGGAAACCAAGAGCCGACTTAATGTGACTTATTTCATTACTTTGGTTCAATGATTTATAACAAAGGAAGCTGAAAAAAAAATATGATGGTGTTTGGTATGGCTTTTCGTTTATTTGATAAACGGTGCTAGTTCATCACCATGTGGGCATTTGTCCCAATATGCTATTTTGTACACCCATTTATCTTATAAGCATTTGTCTTAGTTTATGTGTAAATTAACCATTAGGGAAAGCTTTATTTTAACATTTCCCCCAACATAAATGTGTTTATTTACTGTTCTGCTTATGTGGCACCTAGTGGCATCTAACTGTCAATAAATACTAGAAAAACATTTATCAACCACATTTCTCAATTTTGAAGACAAAACAAGTACAAATGTTTATTTAATAAACAAAAGCCATAGCAAACATCCTCTATAACAACGGAAGGATTGAGGACGATGTTGCCCATAGAGTTAAGTTATGATAGACAAAACCAAGGGAGTGCATTTAGAGTATTATGTGATAGGTGGATGCTTCTTTGGCTAAAGGAAAATTTCACCAAACAATTGCTAAGCCATCTATGTTGTATTGAGTATAGCGTTGAACATTTAAGAAGCAACATGTCCAGAAAATATTAAAGTGTTTAGATGGATGAGTGGTAAAATTAAAAGAAAGGGCAGAAAAATGAAGTTATAAAAGAAACCTATGAATAACCCCAATAATTAATAAAATGAGAGAAAATAAATTGAGATAATTTGGTCACATGAATAGAAGATCATCTAAAGCACTTGTTAGAAAAAGTGATATGATACAAGTTGAAGGGGCTTTAAGAGTTGGGGGAAACTGAAAAGGGACTTGGGTGAGTGTAATGGGATTCATGTAGTATAATAGAATAGAAGCCTGATAGGATTCATGTAGCTAAACCCATATAGTTGGGACAAGGGTTAGATGATGATGAAAACAGTAAGGATACTATTTTTCTGGAAGTACAATTAGAGAGGAGAACCGCTGTTTTTTAAGCATTGGTGCTGGAGTCAGCATATACTCTTATCACAGGCACAACCGCCGTGCATTGGGAACATCTCCCATGAATAATAACAAACAAGTACGGAAGATGTTCCCAATGTATGATAGGATGTGTGTGTGAGGAGCAGATCCGGTCTCGGGAGGTGACGGGTTCCTCACAAATGGGCGCCTCATAGGCACATCCACCATGCATTGCGAACATCTCCCATAAATAATAACAAATAAGTACAAAAGATGTTCCCAATGTATGATAGAACGTGTATGTGAGGCGCCAGGTGTGAGAAACAGATCCGGTCTCCTCATGGAGGGATTCGTTATTGTCCAGTTGAAGGTGTCACCAGGCTGCCAGCTAACTTGTTGATAATGTCTATAGCTGATTGTTCGTCTATACAGTTAAAAAGTAATCCAATGTTTAGACTTTAGAGAGAATTTATAAGAAATGGTATTGAAAGGTTGTTCTTTTCTTTTTGCACCAAGAGCCACAACGGGAAGAAGAATGTCTTCCATTCCCATTTTGCTTTGTTCTTTCTTCCCTCGCTTTCTTTTGATATTCTCATTCACTTCTTTATTTATTCTTCCATTTCACCGGCGGTATCTCAGCACCTGCTGGAGTCACTTGGCAACTAGCTAGATCTGGATGAATTAGAAATCTTCCGGCGGGTGGCTAGCTAGTTGGCTGGTAGGGGAGTAAATGGATTGGATCAATGATTCGATCCGATCCTATTTTGTTGGATTCTGATAATCCCTCAATTGGATAATTAGATCCATTGAAAGTTGAATTGGATTCTGACCACTCCTTTATGATCTGACCTTATAAAAAGACATATTAATATATTTGTTTATAAATATATTTATATTGCGTTTCTGTAAATTTGTTGTAAAAAAACATGTATATATTAATACATATGATGAAAATAATTGAAAAAAATACATATATTTTTTGCATTTATTTATATAAACTTGTATGTTTTGGTTTTCTTTTAATAATTTATGACATCCTTAATGAATTCATATTCAAATCACCATTTGTGAGATCTAAACGAATCGGATCTCGAATATGTGCTATTAGATCAGATTTGGTATACCCTGGTTCGAATCTGATATGATCCATTTGCATCTCTATTCGCTGATCAAAAGCTGACCATGATCTATTGGCCACCACATCACCCTCTTCTCATTTGATAAATTACATGGTGATGATCAAAATAATTAAGACGTGGCTAATTAAGAAAAAGGGTCCTTTAGGTTATGTTTGCTTTAATAGAAAATAAGAGAAAAAATAAAAAGTTGAAGAACTTTCCTTCGATTTACTGTTTTCTCCTTGAAAGACTTATAACAAACCAACCAGGATCATTATGGTAATCAATATCTTCAAAATTCATGAGAGGTTTTAATTGGTCAAGGCCTTTTTGGGTATCATGTCTTTCAGGCATCAAATTTTTCTGGAAAGAATCCATCGTATTCATTTAGGGGTTGGAATAAGAAAGCCTAGACCCTATTTGAAAGAACTTTTGCCACATTTATAAATTTCAGTCTCTTGCGCTATGTTTGGTTTGAAGAAAGAATAGGAAAAGGAAGAGAAATGCAGAAAAATTTATATAAGATTTGTAAAGTTTTTTTTCACTTCCTTTCCTTTTCTTATTTTTTTCCTTCAAATCAAACATAGCCTTAAATCCCTAAGCTTTGGTACTTGGAGGCCTGGACTAGCAAAAAAGAAGAAAATATCACCGGAGACTAGACCAACTGGACCAGCAAAAATCAAACTCATCAGGCCACCAACACTGTATAAATCTCTGGTTTCATATGGAACACGCGCCCCATCCTAATTCCTAACCATGTATGTGCGTGGGGGATCGGATTGGGATCATGGGACCTCTAATCAAAGGGCCCCACTCCCGCTGGCCCCATCTCGCTTGGTCGTTGTAACTTGTAAGTCCCATCTGACTTCTGACACCAATCCAGTGGTCAAAAGTTCACTCCGCTTTCTCGAATGAACAAAAGGGCATTCCCGTAACTGCAATGCTGGGAAAGTGAGATCGCGTAGTCAGGTAGACAGGTACACAGAAAAGGAGGAGGACAATATCGCCATTTAATAGGAAGAAAAAAATATGTAGGGGTAATTTTGTAATTATACCTTATCAGAAATAAAATAAATGAAGAGGACAAGAGCCTTACAACGAGGACGGTCCCTCCTAGTTTACTCGCTGCGCTCGCACTCCGGTTCGCGCTTTCCCTTCTCTCTCCTTAACCCACCGCACCCATCTCCGCCTCGTCCAAGAAGCATGACCAGCTCCTCCGCCACTGCTCGCAAGGTTCTTACATTCTCGCCTTTTCCGATGTTCTCTGATTTCGTCCAGATTTTCATTTTCTGAATCAATTGACCTATCTATTTTTCTCATTTGATATTTCTTTATTTTATTTTATTTTATTTTTTACTTTTTATATTGAATTCGTTGTTTAGACTCTGAGCAAGATCGCATGCAATCGGCTCCAGAAGGAACTCGTCGAGTGGCAGGTTAATCCTCCCGCTGGGTTCAAACACAAAGTCACTGATAACCTCCAAAGGTTAGGGTTAGGGTTATTTAGTTCTTCCTTTCTTACTTCATTTCTCTTCGTTCGCTAAGATTTTTCTTTTCTAGATCAATTTTTGTTTTTATTTTTATTTCCTTGCTTGAGTTTGAGTTGTGGACCTTGTGGTATTTCATTTTTGTTGATTCATAGGTGGGTAATTGAAGTAAATGGAGCCGCGGGAACTCTTTATGCTAACGAGACATACCAACTCCAAGTTGATTTCCCCGAGCATTACCCTATGGAAGCACCGCAGGTTCATAAGATCAACTTTTTTTTTGTATCTTTTGGGGTAAATTTCATGAAATTTCTCTTTTTGATAAACTTCTTTTGGTTGGACAGGTTATTTTTCTCCCTCCTGCTCCTCTGCATCCTCACATTTATAGCAACGGACATATATGTCTAGGTAATTTTGGGGGATTTTGTTTGCTTCCACATCTAATATAATCATATTTATGCTGACGTGGGTTGTTTAGTGAGTCTTGTCTTCACTAGAATCTAGATGCTTGGAAGAATTGTTTGCCTCATTCTTAATAATGCCCGTGACGCCTTTATCCATTATATTGGACTTCTTGGAAAATTATTCTGGTTATGCTGTATATGATGACGGGAAATTTTGCTTTGAATGGAACAATCTATTTGTGTTCTCTGATGATGCACTTCTTTGCCTCCATTCTATGCAAGCTAACTGTGGTGGGTTAGATTCTCTTGTTTTTAGTTGCTCTAATTCATAGTGCTTATTAAGTTTTTGTTTTTTTATATCCCCATTATGATGCTCGGTTTTACAAATGTAATATGGCTCAGACTGGAAGATAAACCTAAACTGTCATGTAATAACAGTTGTTGGTACAACAATTTAGTTGTTGAAATAGAAAACTATTTGGAGTTTATCTCCTTTATCTGTGCCGTGTTGACATTGTGTTCATAATCCTTTTTCTTGGTAAAATGCTGTTTTTTATGGTTTTGAAAGGGATATCTGCAACAGACGGGCATTTTTTTTGACAATAGACACAGGAGTTGTCATTTTATGTTTTATTCTGTATGTCGACATTTGTGGGAGGGAGCGGGAAACAATTTCATGGAAAAGTTGGAGACGCACTGGGAAGAACTTAATCTAACCAGGATGAATGGAAATCTAATATTGTTTATGTACCTAATGTCAGTTTGCTGCATGGTGCAGAGCAATTCATCCAATAGAGTTACTGCTAGGCAATCTGTTCCACATCTGCATTTTGAGGGACTGTCTTTCTTGATTGATAGAAAAAAAGACTATCTTTCTTGCAGTAAGGACACAATAGATCAAAGAGGAACTGCAAAGAACCCAGGAGTAGAATATGTTGTATGGAAGATTTAGGAGCATTTTGATGATGCATTACTTAGAAAATAGGACTAAGCTCAAAAAAATAAAATGATTTGTTCTTAGAACATGTAATAAGAAGAAGAAGCAATACAAAACACACACACACACAACTGATCAGTAAGGAATGTCACAAATGGATTTTTTTTTTCTTTAGCATATAGTGCTTTTGAGGTTAATTAAAGCACCAAGGTGTATTAGTGAGGTAGATGGAGTTAAGACAGACAGACCCAAAATTGACATGGAAATATGTAGCCTCAGATTTGAGATATTTTGGATAGATCACATTCATATGATTCTGATTATGTAGAAAAATTTTGTTATACTAAATGTAGTGTAAGAAAAATGTAGCAATTCCCTCTCAGCTACTAAGTCAATGAGAATTCATATTGCAGCTTGTACGAGAAATTCTTCTTTTGATGTGGACCAGCTATGTTACCCTAAATAAGGCAAGGACATAGAATGGGCAATGTGGTGTTTACAGATGTTGGTCAGAGGTTTGAACTGTCCAACATGGAGAGAGAACCCACATTGAATTCCATTCAGTGTACTGTTTCATAGGATTTTTAATATTGTTCAAAGTAGAGTTCGGTGCCGCATATGCATCCAAAGCATTGGAAGTAGGGTCACAACTTGGGGCAGGTTTGAACTGTCCAACATGGAGAGGACCCACTATAATTCTCCGTTCAGTGTGCTATTTCATAGGATTTTTAATATTCTTCAAAGTAGAGTTCAATGGCGCTCATGCATCCAAAGCATTGGAAGTAGGGTCACAACTTGGGCAGGCTCATGTTAAGCAATTATTAGAATTTGAAGGGATGCAGCCCAAGGGCCCAGTCCTGAATGCAGTGTAAATACCTTGGATTGGCTCTCTGACGTACAGTCCTATTGGGAGAGGAGAATGGACCATGCTTGTAAGTGGGCTCACATGGGAAACTTTCCCTTATGCTTGAAACAGTTTGATGAATGAAGTAAACTGAATAATTCCACTTGGTCAGCTTAGATGGTTCAATTATTACCAGAAAAAGCTCAGCTGGTTCAACAAGGAGAATTTTAGCTTCTTTGACCTTAGGAAATCCCATGGATGTTCTAAAAGATTAATCTTATTTGATAGGCGGGTACTTCTAGAAAATAGTATTGCAAAATAACTTAAAGAGGACAATAATAATTTCAAAGTCCTTTTTGTGTAAAATATGGTAAATATCATCAGGTTTTAAATAGATGGAAAGCCACATCATTGCTTTTCTTTAGGGGTGATCATTTGTAGCCCAGCCTGGAAGCCTAGCTTGGGCCTAGGTTTTGTGTTGAGGCCTAGCCCAGGCCTTGGCCCAATACCTTAGGCCTGGATCAGTCCACAATATCATCCCACTTTTCTTTACCTTTTTTCTTCCTGCAGACTGATGGCAAAGAAAATCTTGGTACTTCCTCAACTCTCTTTCGCTTAATTTTGTATGATTGCTCTTTGAGTTGGATTTTTTTCTTCATATTTTTATGGTTGTTCTCTCTCTAGTGGTGATTCATTCTAACAAGTTCTAGGTTAATTCTGGTTAAGATGGTTTTTTATCAGTAATAATTCAAATTTAAATGTTATCCCTATGCTTGCATTTTCTTGCCTCTTTCCTTTGTCTCTTAAAATTTTTCTTGTACATAAGCGACAAACTTAGGGTAGCATTGAGGGAAGATTATATGTTATATGAGTTTGTCCAGAAGTTTAAATGCAAATTAGAATTATTATAAAATATACTAGCATATAAAAAAGAGGTATAGAAAACTGGAAATGCTATTCCCAACTTGCAAGTGCCACCTTGAAAATGAGAAAGTCGTAGAATTATTATTCATCAGTGACCTTTTTTCATATGGAGTATTTGGAGATGACTCCAATTATAGCATGGTGCCTCTAATCAATGTTTTAGAACGCAGAGGCGTGATGTGAGGAGTTCCATTACCTGGAGGCGTGAGGCATACTTTAGATTGCAAACTACGTTCTTTTTTCCCCTTCCCTTTCTTTTCCTTTCCTTTCTCTGTCTTTTTGTACGAGGTCTGCATGAGCCGCATGAGGCATATGCCTTTAGCATGCCTCAAGCAACAGGCGTATGGGGCATATGCCTCTGAGGCAACAACTCTGGCATATGCCTCAGGGCATTTTGGGGGCACCTCACTTGGAGGCACACCTCCAGGTATACATGATACACCTCTCATGCCTTTTAAAACACTGCCTCTAATAGAAGTGATAATTGATGGCTAGATTAAGTTGGACATAAATTTTGTGTTTTGTTTGGTTGATTGGATTATATGGTTTGCCGCACTAGAACCAATGTTCAGAAATGGCCGATTGCTTAGTCCACACGGAAACAATGAATACAAAGAACTTCATATCAATGGATGAAACATAAGAATGCTCTACTGATGGAAGAAACAGAAAAAGGAAACAAGAAAACAAGAAAAGGATACTTTCATGGCATAGACCTTATAAAGCTGATTGTAGTGGTCACAACTTAAGACATATTGCAGTACTATTTGGCTGGCATGGTAATATAAATTTTGCGATGATTTCAGTTTCTTGAATTATTGTGGAAAGAGCATTCAAGTGATGTCTATAAACTTGGTTAATTTTTTACTTAATATAAAGTCTATATTTATCTTGTATATTTTTCCCTGTTAATGTTTTTTTTTTTACATTAAAAAATGTTATGAATATAAATATAATTTATATAAAAAGGATGATGAATGCAAATAACTTCATTCATTCCCAAGATGGTTATTTGTTTTTTAAGAGTTAGAATGGATGCTCATAGAAGAGGGGGACCATGCCAATTAAATTTATGTTAACTTCATGCTTTTAGCATAATTCATTTACCAATTAGTTCAGTGCCCAAGTACCTATAGTTTCCATGCTGTGATGCATATGTTTGCAGGAGGTGTTTAAAAGCATCCATGCAGAGTATTATAGGTATCCATCGGTAGTATTTAAACATGCACTTGAGGTTCCAATTTATGACACCCTACCCTTTCTACAAATTGATCTCTAATTCCACTCCGGTCTTTTCTGTGAAGCAGATATTTTGTATGATTCTTGGTCTCCGGCGATGACTGTTGGTTCAATCTGTATTAGCATTCTCTCCATGCTATCAAGTTCGACTGTGAAGGTTTGGATTCAATACATTAGGTGTTTTAATTGCATCCTGTCTCCAATCGAGATAACAGACTTCTCTGACAGAATTTGGTTTCGATTGCAGCAACGCCCTGCGGATAATGACCGCTACGTGAAAAACTGTAGGAATGGTAGATCTCCCAAGGAGACCAGATGGTGGTTCCACGATGATAAAGTGTGATGACAAAATGATCGACTGCCACGACACCTTTCTGCTGGTTTATAGTTGAACCAAAGAAAGCTGATGGTGACATATCTCATTTTCTTCTGAAAGGAAATGTAGAAATTAGGGAAAAAGGAAAAGGAAAAGAAAAAGCATCTGCGATGGCCTCCTGACTCTTGAGAAGTAGGGGCTAAGAGCGAAGAGCTTCTGTAAAGTTGCAGTGCCTGGTATTTGTAAAGGATGAGTAGTCTATTGTTCAGCAAAATGTATGACCGAAACAAGCTAGTTGTTTGTGGTACTTTGCCCATCTTTGTTTCACTTTTAATGTTCTACTTCCTTTTCCTTATTTATTTTCTCCATCATGATAGTCGATTCAGTATTCCTTCTCTGGTTGATACTTGTGCTTTAAAAAAATGGGAATGTTGCATGTGTTTCTAGGGACTAGTAAATATATACATGCTTTATGCACGGTGATTTTAGTTGATAATGATGATGATAATGTGTATAATTTTTTCTACAATTTTTATATTTTTATGTATATAAAATCGTTTGTTATTTATTATATTTATTTTTTGTTTAATATGTGAATATATAATATTAGAGACGTTTTCAATTTTTTTATTTTTATTTATATTTATTTTAAAACAATTATTATTTAATTATGATACCATGGGTTGACCCATTTGAACCAGATAGTTCAGAGGTTTTATTTTTGGGTCAATTAAAAAAAAACATGGGTTTGGGCATGAGAAAATAGGGATCCTCCCATACGAAAAAGGTCAACTAAATTAAAGAAGGATAGTTTGGGCATTTGGAAATTAATTGACAGAATGTTAATGGAGGGGGCCTTTGTCTAACAACCAAAGTTCAAGGGGGTATTTATCGCAAAAAATAGTGTAGGGTCTTTGTCACTGATCCTGGTCTTTGTAATTTACCCAATAAAATATAACAAAAAGAAATTTTAAGTTTAGCTTTATAAAATTGCAAAAATAAGACAAAAGCGACTTAGTTTTTGGTAAATTTCTTATTTTTCCTAAACGACAAAGATTATAAATTGAATGCTAGTGAAAAACCATTTTAGGAGCATTTGGGCAAAAGTTAAACAGAACGAGGACCGAGTTGGCACAAATTTCAGTTGAAGGGAAATTTTTTGTAATGGTTCTATTTCACATTAAGTGAAAATTTAAAATTGTCCGTATCAGTAATTTTCCCTTTATTTTATTTCAATTATAATACAAACAAACAAAATTTGAAACTCAAGTAAATCAAAATTCTCATTATATGAGAACAATGATATTTCAATAACTTTTATGATAAGCTTTTAAAATTGTCAAAAATTTTGGGGAAAGTTTATGTTATATTCATTCTTATTTTATTGACGAGTTTCAAGTTAATTCAACTCTCGACTTTGGATTAACAGATTACATCATACATTCATACTATATAAACATAATAAGATAATTTTATATAAAAAACTGTAATATGTACAGGTCAGTTGGTTAATAAAATATGATTTCAGGCGTAGGTCTCGAATACATAATAAAATGTGATTAAAGCAAACAAAAAATAGTTTTGGATGGATGTCACTTGTGAAATACACTATTTTGTCTTTGGAATACATTGTATTTGTCAAAAACAGAATATCTGGGGGTTACGAACAAGCTGTTATTTGTAAAAAATAGAGCATGGCTTTTAAAACTGGATCGGATTGGTCGGTCGGACTGGAAAACCCTGGAATTGGTTAGATGATCGGTTCTGTTTACTTTAGAATTGTTATTTCGCCAAAAACCATTGATTTGGTCAACAAACTGTTGATCCAGACGGTTGAACTATCTAACGGTTTGACTGTTTTTTTTTTATATATTTTTATCAAAATGAGCCATCCATTCGGTTTAAACGGTCAAACCGTTTAATCTGAAAACCAGACCCTTTCTGATTTAACTTGCTGTAAAACGAAACGGCTCAAACCTTCCTCAATGCAATATGGAATAACAGCAATAAGAAGCCACATAACATCAGACGAAGAAGGGAAAAGAATAAATACACTACATTGATTTTTAATCCCATACTTTCTCCGTTTTAAGTTGATTTTATTTGTGTGTGGGCGCTACCTCATAAAGAGGGAACCCAATGCAAGCCAAAAAAAAACTAAACAAACATGCCTGGGGTCACATCAAAAGGGTTTTCCCACATGGTCTAAAAACTTTAGCACTGATGTCATGCATTATGCAATATTTTTAGAATGAAATCGTTGAAGTAGTTTTTATAGGTCTAAACGGTTTGGAATTTATGTTTTTTAATAGAAAACGGTAACTTTTATTAAAAAAACATCAGAACTTACAAACTGTCACCTACAAAGAGCAAGTTACAACACAATCCAAAACAAAGTCTCTTTATTCACCCCTTGCTTTGCAAGTAAGGCTCAATAATTCTCTTACAAGGACCAAATTCAAAGACTATTTGTTTGCACCCACTCTACTATTAATTTGGAGTCTTCCTCCACTTCTAGCTGTTGCATACCCAAACGCTTTGCCAATTTGAACCCTTCTTTTGCTCTAAGTGAATCCCCCACACTTATTGGACCGGAGTACATAGCTAATATTTTCTCCCACATCTCTAAAAATTCCCCCAATTCTAAAAGGTCCGGGGTTCTCCACACCTATTGGAACATTGATGCCAATTTGTTTGTTTGTTTTTTTTCACTGATTTAGGTCAGAATGGGCAAAGAGTAACTGGATTGTATCCAAATTTGACCTTAGTTTACGATCAAATTGACATCAACTCCACTAGACACCCATTCACAGAGAGATGTGGATAGGGTTATTGTGGGCAGAGATCTGGATTGCTAAATTGGAGCTAACTTTTCCCAGCATAAAGCCCAGCCAGTTAAGACCTTACCTTGTCTGAATTCGTTCTACTTTTAGACTCTAGAGCATGACTGTGTGTGTGAAAGGAGTTATATACGTCGGAAAGAAATGTAATACGATAGCATATTTGCATCACGAACTCAAGCCAGGACAAAAGTAGGCAGCTGTCATGAAACCTTATCACCATTGAAAACTCAAATTACTAGATGGGATAAGGTTTCCTGAGCTGAGTTGGGCCACTACCACCACCAGTCCACCATATCGTGAGAAAGGAGTGGCTGCTTGAAATGTCAATACCCAATTGGTTAGATTAAAGCACTACAACAATTTGTTGATCCTGGGGAAATCCAATCAAACGGTGCCAACCTCAAGTCAAATTAATGAATTCTTTGAATGGGAAATCTGTATTGAAACAAGAAGATATCTCAATCAGGTCACAAAATGGGTCCTTTTTTTCTCTTTTCAATTTGCAGTTGACACAGAAAATGAAGCTTCCTTCACACACATATGCAATTGCCCAAAACTTTCCGTTCACCTTCGAAGACTTATACGTACATACACCTATCTATATACGCAACTTAAGAAGAAGAAGAAGAAGAAGAAGGAGAAGAAGAAGACATGAGCGACTTAAGGCAGCGAAGGGTCCGAACCAACGGAATATGGATGAATATAGCAGAAAAAGGAAGGGGACCTCTTGTGCTTCTCCTCCATGGCTTTCCTCAGCTCTGGTTCTCATGGAACTACCAGATAACTCAATTGGCTAAACACGGCTATCGTGTTGTTGCTCCTGATATGCGAGGCTATGGCGATACAGATGCACCACCCGATCCTGCTTCATACACAGTAATCCATCTTGTAGGGGACATCATTGGCCTGCTCGATGAGCTCGGCGAAGAACGGGTAACTTTGTCTCCTCCCCATCTCACTATCTCTGTCTCTCTCTCTCTGCTGTTCACATCTTCAGTACTTTTCAATGCCTACCCTGAGCTCATCTCTTCAACTTCGTACAGGCCTTTGTGGTTGGCCATGACTGGGGTGCCGAGGTTGCATGGTACTTGTCGCTCTTCAGGCCAGATAGAGTTAGGGCCGTCGTCAGCCTGGGCGTCCCTTTCCGGCCATACGTGGCGGTCAAGCCCATGGAGATGATCACTAAAATGTATGGGGCAGGTTTCTTCCTTTCTCAATTCCAAGTAAGAAACATCTCCTGATAAATCAGTCTGATTTAAAGCATCAAATCTTGGGTCTGGGGCTCTGTGGCCTACAAAGCTTGGCACTTGTTCCTTGTTTAAATAATGAGAATTTTCAGTTCCACTTGACCACTTCCATCCATGTTTCTCAATTCTATGATCTGAGTCCAATTTCAATTCTTACATGTAAGACTGGTTTTCTCTGATAGAATAACAGATGTATGATTGACGTTCTCATTGTAGGAACCGGGAAGAGCGGAGAAGGCCTTTTCTCGCTATGATTGTTTGACAGTTATGAAAAAGTTCCTACTGATTGATGCACCTGATCATGAAACTGCTCCTCCCGGTGTTGAGTTCATTGATTTTCTTGATACCCCAATATCACTCCCACCATGGATTACAGAGGAAGAGCTCATATTTTCTGCCAGCAAGTTCAGAAAATCCGGCTTCACTGGCCCTTTGAACTACTTTCGAGCAATGGACCTGTAAGACAACTTACTTGATATTAAAATATCTGTTACAGTAGGTTCCATTTTTAGCGTGGGATATTGCCTATGGTGATGATTTGGTTCATTTTCGCATTGCCCTGAATGATTTCTTCTGGCCTCAACAAAGCCATATTTTTTTTGTGGCATATAATATAAGGCAACCATCAAATTTTCTTTTTTCCTCTCTGCAATATTGAATTCTGGATAATAGAATGCTAATGACCTGGTGAGTTATTTCAACTTGACATTGATGAATGAAGCTTTCTCTTTGCTCTCATTTCTAGTAAGCAACAGCAAATTTCTTTTCAAACTTAAAATACTTTTGCACTCTTATTTTTCAGTGCAATGTTTTAAAAATCAAACCAGCTGGGTAAAAGAAGCCCCATGAAATAGACTTAATAGAGAATGAAGCTAAGAAGACATTTTTGGCTTTATAGAGTTGGTGACAGTCCACCTTTCAGCCTACTGGCCAGTCTGTGTCCTTTACAGGGCAGAGGCAGAATAGGTTGGACTGACCGATCTCCTTTACAGGGCAGCCTCTGGTTTAGTTTCCAAGATGTCGGTATAAGAATAATTCCCAAAATTGTAATAATAGGTGAACAAGAACAAAATGTAGGTCCCTTTCTGAATGTCTTTCAACCAATCTATATGTCTTGGGTTTAAATTTGGTTTTCCCATATAGGAATTGGGAGTTTCTTAAACCATGGCAAGGGGCAAAAATCACTGTTCCAGCAAAATTGATAATTGGTGACAAGGATGTCTGGTTTCACACATTTGGCACAAAGGAGTATATGGAAAAAGGAGCCTACAAAAATTTTGTACCAAATCTTGAAGTTGTTTTCATCGACGGCCACCGGCATATCCAACAAGAAAAAGCTGAAGAAGTCACTCATGAGATTCTCTCCTTTTTTAATGATCCATCTCTCATGTAATCAACTTCCATTGTTCCTTTCTATTTTCTAGTATAGTATAATCTCCTCTGCTAAAACATATCTGTTGAAGAAGCCATTGCTGAGATGTAGTTTTGTTCTGGGAGCTAATGCAGAGGTGCTGTTAGTTCCACTGTAAAGAATATTGCGAGTTGTTCTGGCCAGAAAAGTCTAATGTCTAGAGTTGCAAAGGGTTGTACAATGTCATACATATATAGTAGTTATAATGAAGAGAAAATGGTGATTGTGCATATGTTGTTTTATATGCCCAAGCAATTGGTTGACAGTATCACGACTTTATGTTCAACTTCTGGAATAGGAAATGGGAACTAAGATATCAATATCATCCAAATTTCCCCAGCATGGAGCTTTTGTCCTGTATTTCCAATCTCAATCCAGTTCCCATCTGTCATGAATGGCCGGCCAAAACATCATAAAATTAGTGGGCCCCAAATGGTAGAAAGGTTTTCTGAGATGTCTGGATCTAAAATTATCATATGGTGGAAAAAGGCAGGGGTTTGGAAAGAACTGGTAATGTCTGAACCCTAATTTGTTGAAAAGTTGTGCCCTCAAATCAACTCAAAGCCAATCAAATAATTATAATATAAGATCAAACAATGAAAATTTTCAAATAGGAATTTATAATTGCAGATAACCATTCCTAATCCCGTTGGTGGGTTTCATTTTCGGATGAGAATTAAAGGAAATGAAGCCTCGCCGCACATATCAAACATGTTACAATTTTCAAAGTCTATATCTTTTCCAATGATGGACTAAGCATTCCAAACTGTTTCTGAAAATGAGCTAATTAAGCCGCCACCTTTGAAAAATCAAGTCTCTTTTACAACCACTTTATTTTAAATGCAAATTCGGAAGCAACCACCAATAACAACAACAAAAAGGAAGAAGTAACACGAGTGACCTCAGGATCTGAACCAATGAATTTGGATGAACATAGCAGAGGAAGAAAGGGGAGCACTTACACTTATTCATGGCTTTCCTCAGCTTTGGTTCTCTTGGAACTATCAACATAACAGATTGGCTAACCATGGGTGTCATGTTGTTGCATCAGACATGAGGCCATGGCAATATGGATTCTCCACCTGATCCTGCAGCTTCTTATACAATGCTGACCTCATTGGCCTTCTTGACGAACTTGGCAAAGACCAGGCAACATCTTGTTTCCTTTTTCACTCTGCTCTGAACCCCAGAGCCTGTACTAACCTGCTCTTGTGAACTTTGTAACAGGCCTTTGTGGTTAGACATGATTGGGGTTCTCAAGTAGTCTGTTTGGGGATAGCTTTGGCTGTTGGGGCCAACAGCATAGGCTGTTGAGAGTGTTTTTAGGCTGGGCACGCTCACCTATTCACTAATTTACCCACTCTCATGGTAATGTGGCATTTCCAAAAACACGGTCAACAGCCTATGCTGTTGGTCCCCAACAACCAAAGTTTTTCCGTCTGTTTGGGCCAGATAGAGATAGAGAAAAAGAAAATTGAGGCATGATTAGGCTATCTTTGGTTTGATGGAAAATAAGAGAGAAATAGAAAGTTGAGGGAAAGTTCTTAATGAATTCTGTGAAATTCAGAAGAACTTTCCCTCAGCTTTCTGTCCGTCTTATTTTCTATCAAGACAAAAAACAGTCTTAATGAATATTTCGCTTTCCTCTTGACAGGGATGGCAGGATTGGTTGTTGGATCTACTTAATGAATAATAATATGTTCTAGTTCTGAAAAAAAAAAAAAAAACTAACTTGGTTACTTATTTTGGTAGTAAAAAATGGATGGTATTATTAGTTTGACTATGAAACTTACTATATAAACTAAAATAGATTATCATTCTTTTTCTTTCCAATGTCAAATAGAAAAGTCGTCTCAATTATCATGAATACTAGGCTGACTTTATAGGGAGCATGAGTTTATGATTTTACATTCATATGTAAAACCTCTAGTTTATTTTGCACTAGTCTTAGATAAATTGGCTAAACATATTTAAGAGCAGTCTCTATGATGCATGATGTTTGCCAATGACATAATATCAATTGATGAAACTAGCGAGGAGTTAATTGCAAAATTAGGTTTATGGACAACTGCATTAAAAACAAAGGTGTTAAAAACAAGTAGGGTTGCTTAATATTAATTCATTCTCATAGTCAATCATGGGGGAAAATTGTAAAGTAACTATTAAGCATCCAACATTCTTTGTATTCATAAAGTGAAAAATACCAATTTTCAAAGTACTTTCTTCATATCCTTTTTACACCTAAGGAGCATGTGGCTCGTAAAATTAGAGCAAGATGGGTAAAATGGATTGATGCTTCAGACCAAAAGAATGACACCTAAGGAGCATGTCGCTCACAAAATTAGAGCAAGATGGGCAAAATGGAGGGATGCATTTAGGCCCCGTTCGCTTTTTGGTAAGTTACTTACCTGGGTAAATACACTTACCCAAGTAAGTGTTTCCCAGGAAAGACTTACCCAGGTAAGTGCATTTACCCGTGTTCTTTTATTTTCCATATAAATAAGGCAAAGACTATTTTAGTCATAAAAATTTATTATTACAAGGGGCATTTTTGTCCAATTCAAGTATTGGCAACTTTCCCTCAAGGTGGAAAAGTTATTTACCACCTAGGATACCTAGGGAAAATAGACTTTACCTAGTCCCCACATAAATATGAAAAAAGAACATGGGATTCTTGGTCAATGGGAATCAAAATCCCATTGACCAGCTTTCCCCCCTCTCTAAATCCAGAAAAAGAACGACCCCTTAGAGTTTATGTAATAGGCAAACACCACTTTGGCTAAAAGGAAATTTTTATAGGAAGGTTGCAAGACCAGCTATGTTGTATGGAATAGAGTGCCATACAATTAAGAAACAATGTTTCCAAATATGAATGTAGTAGAAATGTGAGTGCTTAAATAGATAGGTGGTAAAACTAGAATGGACAGGGCTGGAAATCATATTAAGGGATTTGTGACTCGCTTAAATAAGTGATGAAATGAGAAAATGTAAATTGAGATGATTTGGTCACATGTATAGAAAACCATCTGCAATACCTATTAGGAAAAATGATATGTTATAACTTGAAGGGGTTAGAAGAACTAGGGACAAACTGAAAAGTACTTGGGAGGAAGTAATAAGAATTGATTTAAATGCCTATAACTTAACGGTTTAAGTGCCCATAATTTAATATTGGATATAAAACCTTTAGTTTAGTATAATTAAAGAAAAATAACACGCTCATTGAAAATTAAAAAAAAATGCAATATAATCCAAAACATGTTTCTTAAATACTTTTTTTTTTTGGGGGGGGGGGGATTTTGGTTCTAATGACCCTTGAACTATGGAGAAAAGTCAATTTTGATCCTAAACTTAAAAATAGGCCATTTTCGATATTGAACCATTGAGTAAAGGCCACCACAAGGCCAAAATGGATGACGTTAGAGATGTCATCGACGGTTCCATTATAAAAATAATAAAATAATAAGCCTTATTGATGTGATATTGATCACATTAAAATAAATCTAGGAAATTGCAAGTGAGTCCCACTTAACATTCCCACTTATTCATATATGGGCAAGAATAATTATTTTTGTTTAATTAATAACTAGTGAATGACCCCGTACTAACTATGGGTAACTAAATGTGTTCATAATTTAGTTTGAAGTTTACTATTCAGTTGTCAAAAATTAAATAAAAAAAAACTAATATGGGTCTTGTATTTTTATAATTGGCAATCTATTCTGACCTATTATTTGAAACCCACTATTAATTTATGTTTTTTTTTTTAATTTGATTTAAGATTTAAATGAGATCTTATTGGTAAACAATAACCCACTTTATTTGGTATTTACTATTTATCTAATAATTATATTTTGAGTTATTTCTTTTTAAAAGTTAAATTAGGTTGCTTCCTAAAAGTTAAATCAAGTTTGTAATTAATAAAGTATTTTCTTTATTAATAACAATTGTAATTCTAACTATTAATGAGTATTGACAATGACTGTAAACTTCAAACTAAATTAAGTAATAATATATTCTTATTATGTATGTACTTAATTTGTGTATATTAAGTAAATGATTTGTAATAATTATTTTTTTTGTCAATTAATGAAATAATAATTTCTTTTATAATAATATTATTAATTATAATAATAGAGTTAATTATAATAATAATGTAAATAATTAGCACTAATTATATATTTATAAAATAATTAATATAAATATAAAATAGTTATATCCCAATTAATAATTAACATTATTATAAATAAGGAATTAATTATCAGTAAGTAATTTTTATCAGAAATCATTATTATTAGTAATAATTAATTATAACTATTGATAATAATAATAATAATATAATAATATTAATTAATATAATATACTTATTAGTTCCAATAAGTATGGTAATTATAAATTTACTATCCAATACTTATTGGAATTATTAAAACTTCCGATTATTTATTTGAAAAATTCAAAGTTTTATAATAGAACTTTCACTAAATTAAATTAATAGAAGCGGTATTTTTTATTAATAGTTTGAACAACATTACTGATTATATCAATAACTACTTTTTGCTAAAAAATAGTGATAATATAAAAATAATGTACATCTAAAAATGAAATAAGTTTATATTTTGAATTAAGTTTTCTAATGAAAGTTTATATTAATTTGTTAGTAATCATTTATTTCAATAATTAATTTAGACACACTTCATGAAATTAAAGTACCTGAATCAGTAATTTTCAGCAAATAATTTTTATAAATTAAAATTTTTATTTACAAAGTTATATAATTAGTGATTATAAAATCACTAATATTAATAATATATTAATTAATGATCAGTATAACATATAAACCAGGGTTTGTTGAAAATTGGATTGCGTTAAATGAATAAATTACTGAACTCAGTAATTTTCAGCAAGTCATATTTAGTAATTAAATTTTCCTATTTACTATCTTATGTTATTATTGGAATAATTACTTATATTACTAATATTATAAGATAGATATTAATATTAATGATTTGAAAACCAATAATGTTAATAATATATTAACTTTAAAAAAATATTATTAATTATAATTACTGATATTAATAATCTTCATTATATATCGATAATGTTAGTAATTATAAATCGGTAATTAATATTATTAATGAATATGAATATTAATAAAAGAAATAATTATAATATTAAAATTACAGATTTTAATAGCAGTAATGGTAATAATAATATTGAAAACAATAAATGACTGAATTAAAGTGGTTCTTTTATTAATAAATTGACCAAAATTACTGTAAATATCAATAACTACGTATTACTAAAAAATTACTGATAATATGAAAACTAATGTCAATGTTAAAGATATAAATTTAATTTTACTGAAATGAATTTTCCAATGAAATTTTATCAATAAATTTTAATTATGAAATTTATATTTATTAATATTGTAATTAATTATTAATTTTTCAGTAATAATTGACCATTATTTATATATTGATCATTAGATTTTGAATATACTAAGTTTTCAAACTTAAAATTATTTGATAATTGCAATTATATGTATTCATAGTCCACAATAGAGAAGTAATAATTTTATAAATAATAATGAACTTATAATAAAGACAAAAGTGTAATGAAAGCTGTATGAACAATTAAGAAAGAAAAAAAAATGTCATTTAACTGAGAAATTTTAATATTAATATTAATGATTATAAAATAAAAAGGTTAATAATATATTAATAATTATTAACTGAGAATAATAACATTAATAATTAACATTATTGATGTAACTATCATTTAATTATTATTAATTCCTATGAATAATAAATAACTATTATTAATTAATATGAATATTAAATAATTATTATTAAAATTGTTATTAATTATCAGTATTTAATTAAACCAGGTTTGGTTTAAAACAAACGGAATTAATTAATGTAAATTATTATTAACATCGTTATTAATTATCAATAATTAAATATAAGTACTTGTTATTAATTAATAGTATTTAATTAAACCGGGTTTGATTTAAAAGCAAACCGAATTAATTAATGTTAATTATTATTAACATCCTTGTTAATTATCAGTAATTAAATATAAGTACTTAATTACACCGGGTTTGGTTTAAAATTGAACCAATAATAAATTATCAGAAAAACAATAAAGTCACGGTCTATTGGAAATTGGACCGACTTAAATACATTAGACCGGTTAAACCGAACCGAGTCGCTAATAAGTAGCACGCTCAAAAAGGACTTCAAAAGTGGGTTAGACCCGACCCATATACTATCACCTTCTTAACCCGACTCCAATATGCGAATGTTGGCTAATCACAGCCAAAACTCGACCATCGGCGACTTCCTAAACACCATCATATGAGCCTCCCGGTCACTAGCGGCCAAATGTAAATGATCGCCGGTGGTCGCCTGTATTAAAAACAAACACCCCTTGTCTGGCTGAAACTCGACCACCAGCAACTTAATAAACATCATCGTATGAGCCTCCCTGTCACCGGCTTCCAAACATAATTGATCGCCGGTGGTCGGTGATCTCATTAGATACTAATTAAGACCCGGTGGTCGCCTGTATTTAAAAAAAAAAACATCCATTGTCTAGCTAAAACTCGACCACCAGCGGCTTCATCCACATGGATGGTATGATGGTCCCGGCCATTGTCAGCTACACATAAATGATCGTCAGTGGTCGGCGATCTCATCAAAGCTCAAAAAATAGCCGATCATCTGAAATTCGATCACCAATGCCTTCATCAACAGCGACTGTATAACATTCCTGACCACTGTCTGTAACCCAAAAATGGTTTTGCATTCTAAACACATACACATTAATCTACGTTGAACTTCTAATGCAACAGAATACATGAAGTATAGAGAAGTGAAACGGAAAACTGATTGAACATGAATGAATCAAAGCATGTATTACGAACAATAAACTATAAACTGTAAAATGAAAGCATGTATTACAAACTCAAATAGTAAATTATAAAATGTATTAGGAAATCAACTAACATGATCAAGGATGGATCTGGTTCTTGTACAGGTTGTACTTTTCTCATTGTGGAGGTAGTCTCTACTTCTTCCAGAGGATGTTTCTCATTGCAGAGGTCTGGTTCTTGTGGAGGCTTTGGTTTGCTCAGTCTCTCAGTTGCAGTCTTGGGCAGTTGTAATTACAGGTTAGATGTTGTGATTCATTAGAATTAGTGATGAACTGATTTGCATTTTCTGCTTGTTTTAGGATTGGATAGTCCCACTTTTAACGTCTAAAAAATTGCAATATCAAACGTATGTGAAAGCAGTAAGAAAAAAAAAAAAAAAAAACAGGTGGTCACACCTCTAGGTGGGAAACTGAATAAACTCTCTCATAACTTAATACTTTATGTACAGGTGTGACTTGGCGGAGGCTTTGGCCTGATTTCATTATTTTTATATTAGTGGGTCTCACTTGTTCACAGGTGGAGCCCACTTATTCACTTCTCTCTCTCTCTAAAATAGTTATTTTTATTTAATAATTAATATATAAAAATATTAATTACAGGTGGGTTTCTCTTAAAATTCCCACTTGTTCACGTCTCTCTCTCTCTCACGGAACCATCAAGGATTCGATGTCGTCCATTTTTGGCCTTATGGTGGCATTTTCTCAATAGTTAAAGGTCAAAAAAGATCTTTTCTAAAACCTAGGATCAAAATTCGTCTTTTTCCCAAAGTTGAAGGGTCACTTAGAGCCAAAAATCCCTTTTTTTTTGTAAAGTTTAGATATATATATATCAATAGAATTGGGAATATGTCAAGACTAATCTCTTATGCCCATCTTTATGGATCTAAGTCTTGAAAAATCACAGTTGGGGCGAAGTTGACAATCGGTGACAGGGATGTGGGATTTCACAAGTTAGGCAGACTAAGTACAAGTAGGAGCTTTAAAAACTTTGGTACCAAACAATGAAGATGTTTTCATTGATCGCTACAATTATATCCAAAGAAATTCTCTCTTTCTTCAATAATCCATATCTAATGTGAGAATGTGATCCATTTTATTTCTTCTTTGTTTTTCTTTTGCCTATTGGAGCAAAAGTTTCAATGTATTGCCACGACTATAAATCCCAAGTATGACCAGATACTTTTCCAAATTAAAGTAGACAAAGGCGCCAACTTTGAACACTAAAGAGTCTTTCGCGTATACTTAAGTGAAGATACAAGGAAAGAAAGAAAGAAGAAAAAAAGAAGAGCAACAGAGAATGAGGAGGAAGAAGAAAAGGAAAATCATGAGTGACCCAGAGCAGCGAAAGGTCCAAACAAACGGAATATGGATGAACATAGCAGAGCAAGGAAGTGGGCCTCTTGTTCTTCTTCTCCATGGCTTTCCACAGCTTTGCATCTCATGGAATTACCAGATAACTGAACTGGCCAAACACGGTTTTCATGTGGTTGCACCTGATATGCGAGGCTACGGTGGTACAGATTCTCCCCCCAATCCTGCCTCCTACACACTCTTCCATCTCGTAGGGGATCTTATTGGCCTTCTCGATGAACTTGGCCAAGAACAGGTAACTAACTCTGCTTAGCAGTTTTTGGTTTTTGCCAATTACTGACTGATCTACTCTCTGTTCACGTTGTTGATGAATTCTGTAACAGGCTTTTGTGGTTGGGCATGACTGGGGAGCTGAGGTCGCATGGCATCTATGTCTCTTCAGGCCGGACAGAGTCAGAGCCCTCGTAAACTTGGGCGTCCCTTTTCGCCCACGCTCCCCTACAGCCAAGCCCGTTGAGTTGATGAGCCACATGTTTGGAGAAGGATTCTACCTCTGTCAATACCAAGTAAGAACAGCCACGAAACCATTTGATAAGCATTGTCGAGTGATCACAGCTTGTCTAGTTAAACTTTTTATTGATCAAGATACCCATCTTCTTTTTCTAATGAGATTATGTAGAGTCCATGAAAATTTTATTTTTTCTAATACCCATTTTCGAGGCGAATCAATAATTTTGGAAGAGCAATTTTTTGCTCTTAATATCAATAAAAGTAATAATTTTCATATAATATCAATTAAGGGTAGACAGTACTGTTGCTCGTCTTCCTAAGCTAACAAAGAAAGAATTCCCTGTGCCAAACTGAAAATCTCATGATCTGGATTCGAAAACACAGACATTGAGAATCATGAGAGAAAAGAGAATCGTGAGACGAAAGTGGTTTCGTTACTTGAAGTCGCAATGGCGGTGGGGGTTTGGAGGTTTCCATGAGAGAGAGAGACTGGGCGAAGTGAAGCCAGGAGTTAAACCGATGAACTGCAAGGAGTGCGGTTTTTGTTTTCCATCCCATTTACTGCTTTGAGAGAGGAGAGAAGAGAAGAAAACAGGAGTGGTTTCAGGGAAGTTCATTTTAGGCGGTTTATCACCAGAAATTCCTGATTTTCCGGTGTTGGAACAGCACTTTGGAGAGGAGGTCAATGTCCAGATCCTTTTTATGTTATTTTCCTTATAACAGGAGTGGCTTCAGCCTGTTTCAACTGTGGCTTCAGCCTTTTTACATGATTTTTACCGGTTTTATTTCAGATTTTTCACTTTTCTTTCTCATGGTGAGGAATCGTGCAGCTATATCGATTCATCTCTTAAAACATTGAAACTCTTCTTTGCCACAGGGAACTCTTTCTTTATTAGTGGAGGAAGACCAACAAGAGTAATGTATAATGCTCTTAATTGATATTTTTCTTAAAAAGTTATCTTATTTTAATTATTATTATTTTTATTGATATTAAGGGCAAAAAGTTGCCCTTATCGACTAAAAGCCTAATAATTTTCCCAATTAATAGAAATTGATAATATTGGGTGAGACAAAATTGTCCATTTTAACAATTTTTCTATAATGGACAAGTGCATTTCCTCAACAGGGCTTTGGGGAGACTATTTGATAGACTGATCTGTAGTATGATCGCCATTATAGGAGCCAGGGAGGGCAGAACTAGCCTTTGCTCGTTATGATTGTTTGACTGTTCTGAAAAAGCTTCTACTACTGGGTGCACCTGATCTTCTCACTGCTCCTTCTGGTGTTGAGATCATTGATTTTCTCGACACCCCAGCATCACTCCCACCATGGATTACAGAGGAAGAACTCCGACGTTCTGCCAGCAAGTTCCAAAGCTCCGGCTTCACTGGCCCTTTGAACTATTATCGAGCAATGGACAAGTAAGACAACCGATCACTTTGTATCTCTATTTTTTCAACCCATTAGTAAGTAATAGTCGCCACATGAACTGAAAGATTTCAGTGTGGAAAAGAACTCAGTTCACCTCTCTGTCTCCGTAGGAATTGGGAGCTTCTTAAACCATGGCAAGGATCAAAAATTACAGTTCCGACAAAGTTTATAGTTGGCAATAAGGATGTTGGGTTTCAAGCATTCGGCATGAAGGAGTACATAGAGGGAGGAGAATTCAAAGCATTGGTACCAAACCTTGAAGTTGTTATCATCGACGGTCACCATTATATTCAACAGGAGAAGGCTGAAGAAGTCACTCGTGAAATTCTCTCCTTTTTCAGTTCTTTCTCTCCCATGTAACTGATTTCTTTCTTGGATATCTTGGCGTTGTTTGTTAGAATATATTGCTTTGCTCTTGCTCCTTGTTAAAGCATAACTCTTAAAATTCTGTAACATAGATGTAGAAGACACTGTTCAAATGTGTCAAGTTAGTACCCGATAACTTTTAAACGGGTCACTACAGTACCTAAACGTTCAAAAAGTGTTAAGTTGGTCATTACGGTTAATCGACCATCACTAATCTGTTGAAAATGTCAAAACTATTCTTCAAAAGAAGACACTGTTTATTGTCTTCCACTTGAGACTGAACCGTTATCTTCAAAGAAAAAAAAGAGAAAAAACATGAAATATGATAGAGGGAAACAATAACCGAAAGCAAAAAAATAACTAAACAATAATGCATTTCAGATCTAATGGTACAAGACAATGACTTCATTAGCCTAGAATCTCAAACATTCAGTCTTAAAGTAGAGTACAATGAACAATGTCTTTTCTTGAAGGGTAATTTTAACATTTTTAACAAATAACTAACGATCCATTAATAACAATGACCAATTTAACACTTTTTGAAAATTTAGATACTGCATTGAAGGGTAATTTTAAAAGTTTGGATAGTAACATACTACCCCAAAATTCAAGTTACTAAATTAGAATTTTCCCTTCGCCATTTCACTCGATTATTAATTTATTATATACTATATGGGGCCGACTGCTCGTTGTAGCATTTGGAATCATAGAATGCAATGTTGATAAAAACACATTGGACTCTAGATTCAACTGATTAATTCAGACTTTCGGTGCAATTCGAGCTGGTATGCCGGTAAGGCCAACTCCTATTTCTTTTTCTTTCTTTTAATTAGCCGGCCTTATGCTTGAATTTAGCCAAGTCCACTCTGTCCAAATAAAACAAAGAGTCAAAATATTGGTATCACGTATCATATAGATAAACTAGGATGGAGATAAATATGGCGCTATGCTCTTGAATATTGATGAGGGCGGATTTGGCCCTCCAATGATATTGTGACACATGGTACTTCAGAACAATTAGGTGACACTCGGAGCCATTTTGACAATAACTTGCCTTAGCCAAGTTGATGATGTCCCACTTGGTGGCCTGGCACTGGCGCAAGCTGGAAGCCTGGCACTAGCGCGACCTAGCGGCTTGGCCCTGGCGTGACCTGGCGGCTTGGCCCTGGCGCGAGTTGGCAGCCTGGCACAGGCGCGACCTGGCGGCCTGGCACAAGCACTGACCTGGCGGCCTGGCCCAGGCGCGACCTGGCAGCCTGACACAGGCGCCGACTTGGCGACTTGGCACATGCGCCGACCTGGTGACTTGCAAGACGTGTTCGCTGACGAATTCAACATGCATATCCAAACACTCCTACGATCCTTGGAAGTTGGCCCACGTGCCGAATGATCCGGAGGGTGGTCAATGTGCATGGCGGTTACCTCAAGGAATCTCGGACCACTTAGACGACTTCTCAAAAATCTCAGATATGATGCGTGAAGCCCACGCCAAACAATGCCTATATAAGGGCACCAACCCCAATGACATGGGGGCAAGTAAGCAAATTCTAGTTCTCATACTTTGTGATTTTTAGTTTGCAGTCTACCATGAGAGTACTGACTTAAGCATCGGAGCGACCTCGCCGGGTTAGCCACCTCGGGTCTTCTGACATTTGGTTCCTTGCAGGTCTCTAAAGAGCAACGAAGCTCATCAATCCAGCTCGACACCTCACAGGCATCTTGGCACCTGGTCAACTCGGCACCTCACAGGCAACTCACCACCTAGTTAGCTCGGCACCTCATAGGCAACTCGGCACTATAGTCAGCTCGCCACCTAGCCTGCCTAGCTCGATTCAGCTCGACAGTCAAAGTTCTCCACTTCGGCCTGAGTCATCGACCACTTGGAAGCAGACCAAATGACGAGGTACTTAGCCAAAAAATCAATACATCAATAAAAATCGATTAATCAAATATGTATACATAGGGTGATAAGAGAGAAATTTGAAGCAAATTAAAGCAAAAATATTTTAAAATTCACAAATTCTTCATTTACACTCCCATACTTTTGTATTGGCTCAATTTGAAAAGAATATAAATACAAATATATATAAAATAATACAAAATATAAGGTTTTGCATTTTATTTCTTCCAAATCGAGCTATTAGTGCAAATGAAATTGCAAAGCAAACATAGTCTCAATGTTCATATGCGTTCAGTATTTTCAAATTTGGTGGATAATTGAGCAGGTATAGACAATAGACCTCTTAAATTTGGTGCATGATTTTCGAATCGCACTTGATCCAGATGGTCGGACCGTTTGGCTTGGGAATCAGTCCCTAGCCAAAAACCATTGAATCGGTCAATGACCTGTTGACATGGGTGGTCGAACTATCAATTCGCTCAATGGTTTTGGCTGTTTTTTATTTTTAAATTTTTATTGTCAGAACAAACCATCCATTTAAATCGAACGGTTGAACCATCGACCCAAAAATCGGTGGCCAAAACGATTCCATTTCTGGGTTGTTGTTTTTTAAAACCATGATTTGGTGATATTAAACCAGTCTCCTTCCAATATGGACAAGGAATAGGCTAATATGGACAAGGAGAGTGAAAACGTGGCAAATCAGAGGGTGCCTATTACATGCTTAATGCGATTATTATACTAATTTGGGTCGCGACATGGTATTATGGTGTCGGTGCCTTGGTGGATCTCAACCAAACCACATCTCAATGCTGAACCCTGAAAGTGAGTCCTGGGCCTCCTGGCCGGGCATCGGCCTAGGGGTGACAACTGACAAATCAAATCTCGGCCAGGGACCTACTTTGGGCTGGGCCTGGTTGGGTTAGGTTCGCCCGATCCAAGTTCACCCCTTAATCCGTGCCCGCGCCACTTCAGCGCACATTGAACAAATACTGTGTGCATGTGAGAGAGAGAGAGAGAGAAAGAGAGAAGGAAATGGCGATGCTCATCCTCCGAGTTCCACGGGTGTTTCCTTTGGCTCCAACTGTTCTCTTATGGCGTTCGAGATTTCCCAACCTCGTTTATGATGTAACAGTAGCAACTTCCATGCCTCTCCCTCTCCTTTACTTTTCTATTCTGTACCGTAGAAATGGCGTCTTATCCTTCTGTTCGAGTTCGCAAAACCCCACGGAAACCACCGTACTTAGCTCAGATGAAACCTCAAAAGGGGTGAGATACTTATCTTTATTCATATTCTCCATCTTTGCGGGTATCTGAATTATTTCATGAACTCCAAGCAATGTTTCTGATTCAATACATGCGCTGCACTTGGAACACATTGAGTCCTTAGTTGGAATTTTGTTTTCTTCTCAATACTCATGTGATCCTAGAAAACTATTTACATATTTTGTTAGAAAATTAAATTGGAAGTCACTTAGCTCTGTTTTTTTTTAATATATAGTGTGATTTCATTAACGAGAAAGGATAAGAGAGTACCAAAGACTCCTATACAAAATCTACATGGCCTACTAGCAATGCCACATATACATTACATACAATTTTTCATGCCTTGGATGCTCAAAAATAATACTTCTCCAGTCATTACAAAAGTTGAAGTTCAATCCTATAACTCCTCTATATGGATTCCCAAAAGTAGACGAGGCATTCAATTCTGCCCATAACAGCGGTTCTCTCTTTAAAGATTCTTTTATTTCATTTCTTCCATATACACAATACACCAATAAATAGTAAAGCCTACCCAGTTCCAGAAGATTTACCTTCTCTTTGAAACACTTGGTAGGCCAGGAATAGATCAGGGATATGATGTAAGAGCTTGATAAAATGCAACCAAATGCCATTCAGTTCTAAATTTAGTCAAGTAAAGTTTCATTCATACAGATAACTTGACAACCTATAAAAAAATGGAAGCTATTGGTTACATCCCTTCAAATGAAACACTATTTATTGGTCGTTTTTATGAATTTAAGCACAATGATACAAAGAAGATAATTTGATAGATGGACCTACCATGAGTCTCAAACTATCAATGTTCTCCATATTGATGGAGCTTCAATGTAGTCCTTTCTGACATTTATATTTGCATTTGCAAAGTTCAAAAGGAGGTTTTCTTTTCTTGAAATTGATCTTTACTTGATACTTATGTGGCCTAATAGGTTTGTAGTACTTGGCATCCATCTCTTGCTGAGCATATTTGATGCATGAGTTACTATTTTTTGTACATTTTATTTTATTGTAGTTTTCAATTTAAGTGATGCTGGTATGGAATAATGTTCTTGCAGAGCCCTCTGAAGTCTGGTTTATACCTTGTAGCAACACCAATTGGCAACCTTGAAGACATTACCTTACGGTATATTTTGTATTTATGGAATGTGGGAAATTTTTACCAAGTGTCAGATATGTTTATTATTTACTTGTTAGTTATCTTATTGGCCACAATAATATTTGCATAAATAATATGTATGTACTTTCAACATGCATGTATGCATAAAGACAAACTTAAAAAAAAATCATTAGTCTTACATCTGAAATTCTTTCCTTACAGGTATATGTCAATTTGTTGGACAGATTTATGGATGAAGGATATTACTATTCCCATCTCATTATCTGATAGGGATCTAAGATACTATTTTCCTAACAAACATAAGAAAAGATGTTCCAAAGAAAAGAAAAGACATTCTCTAAAGGATGGTTGTAAATTCACTTTCCATTTGCTAACCTCATGCTCTTTTTTAGCTAATTCAAGAGCATTTATTTTCTTTATTTGGTGTCTGGTCGGTGCGTCCAGTTACTATTTACAACTTCCTCAGGCCTTTGTTCATTTTCTTGGAGGAAAAAGATTATATTAGAGATGCCTTAGAGCTGTAGTTTTATGGTCAATATGGGAAGAAAGAGACTGAAATATTTGATAACAAAATGATCACTAAAGTAGCCATTACTTAAATCATTATAGCAGAATGGTTCACTAGATCCAGTCAAGGGAAGTATTTGGGGGCATCAGCATGGATGATGATGTAAGGGGTTGGCAGCATGTTGTTGCTTCATCTACTAGTACTAGATGAGTGCAAAGTATTCCATCTTAGTCACCACTCCATTTAATTCCGTGAAACTTAATTTTGATTGACATATCTTTGGTAATCCTCAAAATTCGGGTATAAGAAAGGGCACTAAGGGATCATGATGGTTAGATGTTGATTGTATATTCAACTCATAATGGCAATGGAAATTCAAGTAAGGTTACACTAATATTTTTGCTTCAAGGACTGCAAATAGTGGTATTAATGGGTTATAACAGATTGAAAATTGAAGTGGATTCTCAAGTTGTAATGAAGTGGACGAGGGGGAGTAATGTAATCCCTTGTTTATATCCCCACACTATGAGGGAGGTGCAGTCTTTAGCATCCACAGCTTGAAGGCCTCCTTTAGAAGGTCTGCTAAGTCCCTGGCAGATTTATTAGTTAGATAGGGAACAGGGAACTAGTAGGGATGAAACACATTTAGGTCTTATCTCCAGAGGGTGGACTAATGGCTTTGCTGCATATTCATGGAGTCTTCTATTTGTTGCAGTGTTTTAAAAGGCGTGGGAGGCGTGCCTCCAGGCGAGGTGCTCCCAAAACGCACTGAGGCGTATGCCAGAGGTGCTGACACCTCTGAGGCGTATGCCTCATGTGCTTTTTTCATGAGGCGTGCTAGAGGTGTATGCCTCATGCACACCTCATATAAAAAGACTGAAAAAAAAAGAAAAAAGAAAAAAGGAAAGGAAAGGAAAGGAAAAGAAAGGGAAGGGAAAGAAAAAGAAAGAGAAGAAAAAAAAGAGAGAAAAGGAAAGGGAAGGGAAGAAAAGATAAGGGGAAAGAAATTGGTCTGCCCCCGGCCCCTTCAACTAGTGTTGTGCATCTTTATTCTTCTTAATATAAAAGGTTTTTATTAAAAGTAAAGAAAAAAATGAGATCCCCCCTTCTTCTTCTTCTTCCTCCTCCTCCTCTTCCTCTTCCTTCTTCCTTTTGACCCCCCTCCTCTTAAGGAGGCTTGTGCCTCCTTGTGTTCGGGAGGCTTACACCTCTTACATTCTGAACTACGCCTCATGCCTCTAGGTAGTGGAATGCCTCGTGTCATGCCTCTGTGTTTTAAAACATTGGTTTGTTGATATTTGGAGTATCAAGCTGGTCTCTAGCCTATATGAATGATTTCTTGTATCTATTCTCTTGATTTTTCATCAATAACATCTCTTTATCAGGGGAAAAAGATATGATCGAAGAAGTTTAAACATAATAACTTAATAAATTGTCTTGTTTTTCTGACTGTCATTTCCTTACCCATGCTAAACCACTGATGCAGTGCTCTGCGCATCTTAAGATCAGCGGATGTTATACTTTCAGAGGACACAAGACATTCAGGAAAGTTGCTTCAGCACTACAATATTAAGACCCCCCTTGTAAGTACTCATGTGACTTATTTTATGTAATTGAATGGTCGTTTATATAGCTTTGAATTTCTTCTAATAGCAGTTTTTAGGTTTTCAGCTGAGTTATCATAAATTCAATGAATCTCAACGAGAAAAAACAATATTGAGGAGGTTGCAACAGGGTGATGTCGTGGCACTGATCAGTGATGCCGGGTCACCAGGTATCAGTGACCCTGGTACAGAACTGGTGAGTATCTGTTAGGTTCTAAATTTCCTCAAGGTAATATTGTAGTACAAACTTGAAATTGCTTGCACTGCACTCTTCTATTTTTTGTTGGATCTTGCAGTGCCTTACATGTTAGTTAATGAGTGAAATTGGAACTTGGAAAGTTCATTTATTGTGACTACTTTTCTGAAAATAAATTCTTCCACTTGGTGCAGGTAAAGTTATGTATAAATGAGAAAATTCCTGTTATTCCTATCCCTGGGCCTTCTGCTTGTATAGCAGCTCTGTCTGCCTCGGGTTTGGACACTGATGGATTTAAATTTGGTGATATGTTCAGGAACTTGACTCTTATATTGGGCACTGTCAAATTTCCCAGAGGCACTATTAATAAAACTCTTTTTGATGACCTTTTTCACATTTACTGCTGCAGTTGGATTTCTTCCTAAGCAAGCTAGATCAAGAAGAGAGAAACTGCAGGTTTGTGCTGATGAAACTGCAACACAGATATTCTTTGTTCCTCCACACAAGCTTCATCAATTTCTTGAAGAAACCTCTTCATTCTTCAGTGACTCAAGGTAAAATGTGAGGCCTTGCTGATCAATACTTCAAATTGGTTTTTTTTTTTTTTTTATCAAAACCTCCAAAAGTTTTGAATTATCTTTTTATATACTTCAAATTGAATTTTTTTATCAATACTTCAAATTGAATTTTTCCTGATCAAATACACATAATCACATTTTTATGCAAAAGATTCATGCATAGGGAAGCCCAGTGCACAAGGCTCCCGCCAATGCAGGGTCTGGGGAGGGACAGATGTATGCAGCCTTACTCCTGCAGATACACAGGGAGGCTGTTTCCAAGATTTGCACCCTGGTCACCCAGGACCAAGGCCCACCCTCACATAAAATTCATGCATAATTAACCTAAAATTTCTCTGGATGTATCATGAACCAGCTATATTTGTCCATGGTTCATATTTGCCATATTGGATATTAAATTTGGTATTTTTTAATATAGATATCACCAAGTTCATAAGTATCCATTTGCAAACTTGCAATTATGAGCAACCTTTTGTCTAGTGACAGGATCTGGCTATATAGTATTTTAGAGACTTGGTAATTGGTCTGGAAAACCATAACCATCTAAAAATCTTTTAGGTGGCTTAACTTGTTAGACTGGTCACTGGTCTAACTGGATTGCAGAAACAATACAAAAACAAGACAACCATAAAGGCATTTCCTCAGCATGCGAAAGCACAAAATGGAATTACACTCCTTTACTTTAACTAAGGCTATGTTTTTTTGATGAATTGTAACTAAGGCTATGTTTGGTTTGAAGGAAAAGGTAGGGAAAGGCAGGGAAACCTATACAAGGTTTGTAAAAGTTTCCCTACCTTTCCCTACTTTTTCCTTCAAACCAAACACAGCCTAAGGGTTGGAGATATGGTTATTTTTGAGTTACCCTGACAGATCTCCATGCGTTTGATATTGTCTTGTAATATTTAGATTCTATAATTTCAGGCTGTTCCAAAACAGGTTTCAATGAAAAGAATGAAAGAGCGATAAGGGGATAAACAGCACAAAAATTTTTGTTTCTTTTTCCCTGAACTTGTTACTACATGTGCAACTATGACATATTCTTGCAATCAATATCAGTAAGAGATGCACAACTAAGAATTTATGATGATGGCCTCTTTTGGATTTTTGCACTGCAGACAATGTGTCATAGCTCGAGAGATCACAAAACTTCATGAAGAGGTAAATGTGGTCCCCCATTTCTTGTGTTTTGTCTGTTTATTACAGATTTGAATGCCATCATCTATTAAATATTTTTACTGATGTTCTATCGTGAAGTGCAGTTCTTCCTATATCTCATATGATACCTCCATGATAGACGGATTTATTATGGAGCTTATTTATTTTATTTTAACCATCCTCAGTCATTCTTTTGGGTTTGGTGGTTTGTTGAGATAATTTGACATGTATCTAACATTCTCTATATTGTAAGATCCTAGGATGATACAAGTTTAAGAGAGCCAGATATCTTTTATTGCAAATTAGGTGCACTTCGCTAGTTCTAGAACTAACCTTGAACAGGCTGTACAGCTAGATGATGCATGGAGCAGTATCCATGCATGAGCAAGAAAAAAATGTTTTAGCATCTATATAGCCAACCCTAAATAGTTGTGTCAGGTTGGAAGCCATATAAAAGCTTTCAACCAAGACAATATATAGCCAACCTAAATAAAATTAAGGCTGAGTTGAGCTTAGTGGAGATTTCAGTCATTAATCATAAGCCTAAAGTAGTTTGAAGAAACTTCATCTGAAAAGTGTGAGGAAACATGTTTTGTAGTATTAGTTGAAGTTCTTTATCAACATTATTGGTCAAATCAATGAATTTTCCTGCACTATTTGAAGATCCTTGGGTCCTTAGTCTAGCAAGCTTGACATGCTATTTCAAATGCTTCAATGAGTTAGAGGTCCATCTCCTATGGATTGGTTCACATCACATATATTGCAATGACAAATATTCCTTTTATGTGGTTCTTGAACTAATAGAGATAATGCCCCAGTTTTGGCAGGGCACTTTAGGGGAAGCAAAAGCGGCATTCTCAACTCACCAACCAAAGGGAGAAATCACACTCTTGATTGAAGGAAAGGCTAAATCAATTGTTGAAGCTCCATCAGAAGCTCAACTGGAGTGTGAACTGAGAGATCTGATCTCCCATGGCCATAGCCTTTCCACGGTAATCAAGTCTTTTGGCTTATTAAATTTATTTATTTTTTTACTTTGTGTGTATTTTTTTTTGGTTACAAATCATGGGCATAAATTGGGGTAGTTCCTGATAATTACATTACTTAAAACCATATAGGTCTTTATAAACTGGAGGCGTTATAATCAAATGTGCCATTTAGGTTCTGGATTTTACATTTAAGCATCTCTTTCAGAAATGATGTTGAAATAGCATAAATCATTTTGAAGTTGATCGGACTTGGGGATGCCATCAGTATTTGACTGCCTAAATCTAAATCCCTAATCCAATTTGATGCCAATTGCAAATCTCAAATATAATTGGACCAAATATGGATCCTCCCCATTACAACCTAACATTACCATATCTATGTTATTTGCACACAAGTAACTTGTATAAAGTTGATTTTACCATCTTATTTTTTACTAATGTGTTTAACTACAAGCCTCTTGGAAATTATTCACTTTTTAAGAAAGGTGTAAGATTGTATTCAAAAGGAGGGTGAGCTTCCCTCAGAGCATGTACAAGAGTAGATGAGGCTGTTCATGAAGAGAAAAGAAATATGGACAAAAAACAGCCCTGGCTTCAAAAAATCTAATCAAGGCACAAAAAGATCATAAAGATGACTTGGTTCAATTGTATTTAAAGTGACTATATATTTCAAATTCTGAAACTCATGGCAGCCAGCCCAAGCAATGACATTGACACCTCTCAATCTTGTCCACTATAGCTTCCCTTGGCATCACTGCACCCTCAAAGATTATCCTGTTGCGCCCTTTCCACAATGTCTAACAAGCGGCAATGGGGACCAGCTTATTTGTAACTCATTTAATAATAAATGTAGAGCCATTTCCAGTTCAATTTTATTAATAATGTTTTATCCAGATCAATTTTGCTTATTTGATTAATGATATGATATATGAATTTGCTCCTATTCCAACCAAATTTAATAGATAGGATAGGATTCAATTCATACCCAAATTATTATTAGGATCAAGCTCATATCCAGGTTATACGAACTGGATCTGGGCCATTGGCAGCCCTACAAACCTCCTGTTTGTATTATTGTTCTAGCTGAATGAGCATAGCTTTTGATGGTAAAGCATGGTTCTTTTTAATGAAGCTAGTTACTCTTGAAATATTTTTTCAATAATATAACCAAACACTCCACGTAAAATGTTCTTTATTAAATATAGTTTTGTTTTTCATTTGGTGATCTTTATCTGAGTCATACAGTTTCATCTGATTTAGCCATCTTTTTTTCTAATGTAATACTAGCATGCTTGTTAGGGGGCGACTTTTCTTTTCCTCTCTTATAATTTGGTTGTTTAGGCAGTGAAATTGGTATCTGAGGGAACATCAGTCAAAAGAAAAACAATATATTCTCTTGCACTGAGGAAATTTGGAAAGCCAGTTGAGGCAGAGGATGACTCAAATCAAGATAATTGACTTGTTTGCGTGGTGAGTATCCTTCTACTAAGAACTATGCTTGAATTGCTTTGTTCTATTCTATAGGCTAGTTGATTGGCTTTGGAAAAGAGTTGGAATCTCCTCAGTCCTCCGAACAAAAACTGTCTCAACATGCTTCCAGCATGATCTGTGTCTGCACATCTTGCCATAAGACTGGGACCCACCATGTATGAGATATGCTGACACAGATCATGTTGGAATGTTTTTTGTTGGGAGGAGATCTATACTCTTTGGAAAGTTGCCACAAGCAGCCATGTGCCAAAGGGGTTATCATCCCACAATTAACTAGGAATTACTTATAGCTGCTTTGGTTTCTGCTTTTTACCTTTTGCGGTAATAAGCCGAAATAGGAAACTTGATTTGGTCCTCACAAGACCATGCTCACACTGTTCGCACAGTCCCTTGCAGCCATGCATTGGGAATATCTCCCCATGAAAAAAAAGCATATAAGTACGGAAATATTCCCAATGCACGGCTGTAAAAGGCTGTGAGAACAGTTTGAGTGCGGTCTTGTGAGCACTGAATCCGATCTCCCGAAATAGCCACTATGTAGGCACTTTTTACATGAGGAGACAGATGTAGCAATGTTTTAATGAACAATAACACTAGTGCTGAATTAGCAAGATATCAAGAACCTTGAACATAGGCACCGGCACTCTGGTGATTTTACTTTCAGAATAAATTCCTGAAGTCATTCTAACGAATCTAACCTATTTGTGCTTAAAATAGTAATATACAACTTAATCTGTCAGGACTTTCAAATTACCCCAATACACTAAAGGACTGGCTATGGTGAACTGACAGTTGACTGCTGATGCTGCTTTAACAGAGTACGTGAGACCAGATTACTGGTCTATTTTAAATCATTTGCCAGAAGGTTTCTTGGCCACGCAAGAATTGCCAATATGATCCAAACCATGGAGACCAGTATGCGGATTTAGGGAGGTCATGAAGTCTACTAATTTTTTATTCCAGAATTCCAAACTGCATTAATCTGGAAAATGCATGTTTGTATTATTACATGGATTTTTTTTCCTTCTTGTACATGATCCAGCTTCCTTACCATTGTATGATTCCTATAGAAAAGCTTGCAGCTGCATGTCCTGCCAAATGAGTGTCTTGTCAGTAGAAATGATGCCTTCGTTTTTGACGTGTTAAACACTCTTGGATGTATCCTTACCGAAAAAACACCTCTCGGATGTATCAACTAATGATTCTTTAACAACGTTTGTATGAATGTTTGGGCTTGAGAATCAGAGTACTTACCATAGGTTAGAAAGGTTAACTAAACTACAACCACTTATCTCAATATCAGATTGCGTTCCTTATGTTTTTCTGTTTGATTGGACGAAAATACAAAGGGCATAAGGCTGTATTTGATTTCTGAAAATGCCTTAATTTTAAGGGCACGGGCTCACAGATATATCCAAGATGCCTGAGGGATATGATACTGGAAGAACTTTGACCAAATTTGATGAGTACCAGTTGATCGATTACCACCTCTACAATACCCGTGGTTGATTGTTTGTAACTCTCAGGTATCATCAAGCCTTTTCAGTACCATAGTTGGACAAAAGGCATTACCCAATACCCACTATATTTTTTCACTCCTTTTCTCAGAAATCAAACGCAGCTATTTCCTAGGATACTGAATCATTGATTGCCTGTTTGAATATCTGGAAACCAGCTAAA